AAGAGTGTTTTGAGTCATTTTTGTGTCGTAGGTCACCTTCCAACACAATGATAAGGATTTGGTTTCTAATTGCATGACTGTTAAAAAGAGTTATAAACATGGAGAAAAGTTTGATTTACTCTTGGTATATGCTTGGTTATGGTTATAATGTATGACTTCACATGGAATCATAAAAGAAAAAAATTAGTTATGTAACATGCTTGAAGGAAGGAAGTCAAACAAACGCTACAACCCTGAGAGACTTGAGCCTATAACGTTCTTTGGAGAGTATAATCTGTGATTTCTTGTTTTCCAAAGTTGTTGCATGATCTCATTATTCTTTGCTTGGTTACTACTTAGAAGGCGTTTCATCATATAGTTCCAAATGCTAGAACTCATGCCCATTTCATTCAAAGCATGTTATTGATTTGCATAACATATATCAAGATGAAGTTGTGTAGTTGCCACCATAGCCAAATAGCCTCACTTCCCATATTTCGTATATGTTGTAAGTTTTACCCCCGTTGAGCCATGTTAGCCCTTGTTCTTTGTTAACCCACTTTATCTTCACCTAACCTAGAAAATGACCGTCCTTACCCTTGTTCTTAAAAGATAGTGAGCATGACTTAAATGAATTCCTTTTGAGTTACATTATGCAAGAAAATGAGTGTGGGGGAAGGAATGCTTGTTCTTAAGTATGTTTTGAGTTTCAAAAGAAAAGAAAAAAAAAAAAAAAAAAGAAAAGAATGAAAGAAAGAAAAAAGAGCTTGAAAAAATGAAAGAATGAGTGATTGAAGAAAGGGCTCAAAACACCAATTCTGGCCCAAAATTGTCTAAATTCTCCCTTTTGTTCCAAAGTTGAGTTTTCATTCAGAAGTGAATTCTAAGTTGATTCAATTGCCTTGCTCACTATTTCTTTAAGAACCTTTGTTTTCCATATCCCTTCTTTGTTATCCACACGCCCCAAGTCCCATTACAACCCGTGACTTCAATCTTGAGTGTTATGTGTTTCAATTTGTGGAGTTTGAACTTGGTATGAGCATATAGTGTCACTGGTTCTCGCGTCTCAGTAGTAGCATTCCATTCATGAGATCATATCTAAACATGCTTATTAACTCCAAAAATTGCGTTCTTTGTGATACATATATGTGAGTGTTCGTTTTCATGTTTACATCAATCTTCTCACATATGACTAGATTAGGGTGTGTAGTTAGAAAATCTGAGTGAAAATTGAGTGCATATCTTGTAAGGAATTGAGCAAATTCTCTAAGGCATGTTACTACATTCAAAACATGGTTTTAAATGCTTAATTGTGAACTAGTATGTGGTGACTATGATTAAGAATGTACTTAAGGGTAAAGATGGCTAAATTCTGTGGGAATAATGATTTTTAACTTGTCATGTGCATTGGAAATCCCTGAAACGATTGTTGGAAGGTGTAGGTTGTGTTTTACGTGTTTAGTGTCGTTTTGTTTATTTGTTTTTATTCTGTTTTGCTCGAGGACTAGCAAAAGATAAGTGTGGGGAGTTTGATAGGAGCATATTCATGCGACTTAAATGGCTTGTTCTCGTACGTTTACGTTATGTTTCTCTAGTTATTTTAGTCCTTTATGCTTATTTTGTGTGTTTTCAGGTTCTAAGGGCTTAAGGAGCAAGAAAGTGCATTTTGAGGCTATTTGGAGCATTTTTGGGCATGGATTGGATAGCTTAATCATGGAGCAAAGAGGATGGACGAAATTGAAGCCTTATATGCTCTTTGGGGACATCAAACAAAGGGCCTAGCCCAATCAAACAAATCCTTTGAGCTATGGAAAACCTATAGCCCAATCAAACATATTATGCCATGCAAACCAACCTATTTTAGGCCCATTCTATGTACTTAAACCCTAGCCCTTTAAACTAGCCCTATTATGATTTATTTCACTTCCATACTCCTCTTAATTCCACATGCATTCACACACATGCACATCATTCACTCACATTTCCACCATTCATTCTTTATTCCACAAACAAGTCACATGCATTCACACACCAACAAAACAACTCCTTTGCCGTGCATTCCCACTTCCTTTCCAACATCTCACATGCATTTCCACCTTCCTACTTCATCATTTCACCACATTCTCCCTCTTTAAATCACATGCATTCATCATAATTCACAACACAAAACAGCCAACACATGCACCAAAACCTTCAATGCCGTGGGTTCCCTTTGAAATTCCAGCATCTTCACATGTCTTTCTAGCTTTCCCTTTCATTTCCACCACTCATTCTTCATCATTTCAGCCACCTACATGTATTAATTATTAAACTCTTCATCATTGCATCCAGAAAATGAGCAAGAAAGCTTCCCAAACACATGCATACACACACTATTTTCAGCACACACATGCATTTCCAACATAAAAATCTGCCTTGTGCCGTGCACTTTCATTGCATTTCCAGCTTTCCCTTTTATTTCCACATGCAATTCTTCATCATTGCAGCCACAAACACCTTAAACAAATAGCCATATACATCTCCACTCCTCCTATAAATACCCTTGCATTCATTCATTCACATATCATCTCATTTCATACACAACACACCACAAACACTTCCATCTTCTCCCTAGCCGTGAGTGTCTCTCCATTTTCTGCACCATTCCCTTCCATTTCTCCTCCATTTCTTCCATTTCCATAATCCCCCAATCCATTCAACACACCAACAACATCCCTTAGTCCTTGTGCCACAATAAAGAGGAAGATAAGAGGGCCTAAACGTTCATACAATTCACGTTTGAGTTGTTGGAATGTTTACGCGTTTCTTTGATTTCAATGTTTAAATTCAATTCTCTTTGTTTTGTAATATGAGGAATGGAAGAGAAGAGTGCCTAAACGTTCATACAATTCACGTTTGAGTTGTTGGAATGTTTAGGTGTTTCTTTGATTTCAAAGTTATGAGGAACTAAACCCTTTTTGGCTAGGGGTGATTTCAATACCATGATTATTTATGTAATATGAATTGATGAATTCCGGTTATGAACTCTTGATTCGTGAATGCAATTGGCTTAACTATTTGATGATTAACTTATTCGTGTTTGTTGATTGAGGGTCGACACTTAATTAGCATGCATGAGTATGTGGCTAAAGTTTAAGAAGGTTTCACATAATCGTTACTAACTTATACTTGAAAGTAGTGAAGGTCGCTTGTCACGATCGCGTTAAGTTTAATTCTTAGCATGAGTAACATGATGTCATAGTTGCAAATGCTTTGTCAATGCTTATGGTTTTCATTATTCTTAATGATCTTCGATTGTATCTCTATTATGATGACATGTAGGGAACTTTTGAGAATGTTTTGGGTTGTCGAATGATGCCATCCAATCCAATAATATAAGGAAAATCTGAGGGTTAACTAGTGATGTCACGGTTAATTTGGGGCATTGTCGTTCATAATTCAATGAAGGAATAACTGGAAATTGATTCATGTGCATAAATATCATGTGTGGAGAAAGAACCTCTAGCTAATTCACCAACCATCTTATTTCATCAATTTCATCAATTACTTTCTGTCTAGTTATTAACTTGTTTCGTTATTTCAATTTTCGTCAAACCTCAATCCCCCTTTTGCTTTAATGTTCAATATAGTTAGAAATCAATTTAGTTTGTGTTTTTAAAGCATTTTGATTCTTTTGGTTTGTCTTAGTGTTTTAACGTTTAGTTTCACATTCTTTGAGTATAGTTTAGTGTTTTATATTGTTTTTACGTTTTTAAGTCAATTTAGAAGGTTTTAGCAAGCCCTCCTAATCCCCGGTCTAGAACGATCCCTCACTTATCCATTCTACTACAATTGTCAAACGAGGGTTTAATTTGAGTGTCAAGTAATTTTCGCATCAACTAACTCACTAAATGCAAGGAAATAAGCTAACAAAATCGCATAAATATGCTCCTATCACCTCTAGGGCAGGCCCTATGTGGTATTTTGGGTGGAATATTCCAAGATATTTGTGTAAATAAATATCTTGGAGTAATTAGGTAAATATCCTAAATTGATGGGACTAGGATTACTTACTTGAAAGAGGTCTTCTCTGATTAAGAATGTATTTATTATAAGAATAAGGAATTATCCTATCATAAATACCTTTGACTTTTCCTACGGGCAGGGGTGCCTTAAGCAGTTGTTGATCTCTACCTGCTTCACCTCAATTGCGCGTGGTGAATGAGCTGCTCCTTGCTCATTTAATAGGGGTAGTCTTGTCTTTCTTAGGAAATAATCCATGTGTCAGCTCCATGATTTTTGGGATTATTTTTTGCTCCACAACACCCTTCACAACTCTATCTCTTTGCTTCTCCTTCCATGTGAATACAATGCTCAACTAAGCTTTTCTCTCTCAAGCAAAAACACACTCAGTGAACCAAAAAAGATTAAAGACATAGGATTTATCGAGTCACAATCGAAAGTTAGGTTCAATCCACCTGAATTGAACACCCCTACCCTTCAACAACTCCCTCTCTCTGCCTCTCTTTCCTCGCGAAGATGACCTTAACCTCTCATTCTCTTTGACAAAAACACACCAATGAACCAAAAAAAATAAAGGTATGGGATTACCTGGTCATAATCGAAACGGAGCTTTAATCCACCTAAATCGGTTGCTCACAACACATCCCTCTCTGTGCCTCTTTTTCCCTCTTGAACACGCGAAGAATCCCTCAGCTCACCCTCTCTCTGCCAAAAGCATACCGAATGAGTAATATATAAAAAGGTTTTCAATTGCGCAGGTTACAACAACACAGTTCTATCGTAAGCTCGTCAGATCACGACCATTGGATTTTGGTCCACATGCAAAGTCCGCACCATAGAAATGCCAAATATAATTACTAAACTTTTATTAGGTGCAAATTTGGGTGTGAGCTTAGCCTATCAGGCCCAACAAGCCCAAAATATTTCAAAATAAAAGTATATAGGCATTAACTTAGCCCATCAGCCCATTAGGTCCATACAGAAATCACAAAAGGCCATTATATAAATACCCTCACTTACCCACACCACCACTTCCTGTAGGTCTAGGGTTTTTCATTATTCAATTCAGAGTACAATCAAACTCTAGCAATGTCGACTCTCGCAATCGAGTCAGTGCAGTGTTTTGGCCGCAAGAAGACCGCTGTCGCCGTCACATACTGCAAGCGCGGCTGTGGCCTCATTAAGATCAACGGCTGCCCAATCGAGCTCGTCGAGTCCGAGATCCTCCGCTTCAAGGCCTACGAACCCATCCTACTCCTCGGACGACAGCGCTTCGCCGGTGTCGACATGCGCATCCGCGTCAAGGGAGGCGGTCACACCTCCCAGATCTACGCCATCCGCCAGAGCATCGCCAAAGCTCTCGTCGCTTTTTACCAGAAATATGTGGATGAGCAGAGCAAGAAGGAGATTAAGGACATTCTGGTCAGGTATGACAGGACCCTCCTTGTTGCTGATCCGAGGCGCTGCGAGCCCAAGAAGTTCGGTGGTCGTGGTGCTCGTGCTAGATTCCAGAAGTCTTACCGTTGATTTGGGGCAAATGGAAAGCGAAAGATGGACAGGTTTAGCTTCTTTGTTTCGGTTTAGGGTTTAAAGCTTATTGACTTTGATTTAAGAAGTTGGAAGTTAATGGGTATTTTATAATTTTGCAGAATTTTGATCATCGAGACTTTGTTGTTGTTTTTGAGTATGTTGGATATTGAATGGTTACCATATTAAGTATGACATGGTTCAATTAATTACTAGTTTATTTTGCTGCGTGGCTTAATCCTTTGGATAAACTAGTGTGTTTTGGCTTGCTTAAAATGCTTAATCTTTAGTATTTCTATTTGTGTGGCTTAGTATGCTTTAGCATATGTATAATATTTTCGTTCGGGCAATGCCGGCGCCCGGTCTCCTATGCTTTACCATTTATACAATGTTTTTGGTCTCCTATGCTTTACCATTTATACAATGTTTTTGGTCTCCTATGCTTTACCATTTATACAATGTTTTTGTTCCAGGCAATTTCGTCCCCCGGTCTCCTATGCTTTACTGATTATACAATGTTTTTGTTCCAGGCAATGCAGTCCCCCAGTTTTCTGTGATTCATTAGACTCGCCGTAAGTTTTTCACTTACCATTAGTTTTTTATAGATTTCATCCAAATTAATGTTAATTCTTATCATGTGCACACCATGGGACTCTCCTTTGCGGACAAAAGCGTCATTTTGTAAGATTTTCAGACACAAAAGTTATAGAATCACACATATTTGCATAGGCTTATATTTAGAAATCTAAAGTTTTCAATGACTTTAAAAATGAAGTGATCAAACTATTTTCCCATACTGTGCACATGTTTCAATTTAATAAAAATTTAGATAGAATGAATAAAAAATTAACAGGAGGGGCAAATCGGTCAAAAAATTAGTTTAAGTCCTTAATTTTTCAATTAAAAAGTTGAAAGAGAAATTGATGGTTCAGAAAGCAATTCGGCAGTTTAATCAAATGTTATCTTTGTTGGATTCTCCGCTCTAAATACAGGAAAACTTCATTCAGTTCAGTTTGAATAAAATTTTCAATATAGTTTTATTGATTAAGAGCTTTTCTGGCATTCAAGCCTCAAGGTCCTGTGTCTCCCACTTGCACTCAAAGCCATCTTTCCTTGTATCTAATACCCATTTTTTCTATATGACAATGACACAAAGGAGGATCCTAGGGACTACACTGAAGCAATGTCCGACATTGATTCAAAGAGATGACATGAGGCCATGAAATCCGAGATGGATTCCATGTATCAAAATCAGGTCTGGACTCTTGTAGACCCTCCAGAAGGTATAGTACCTGTTGGAAATAAATGGGTATTCAAGAGGAAGATAGGCGTTGATGGGAACGTGGAGACTTATAAGGCTAGACTAGTAGCCAAAGGTTACAGGCAACGAGAAGGGATTGACTATGAAGAAACTTTCTCTCCTGTAGCCATGATTAAGTCCATTCGGATTTTGCTTGCTATAGCTGCGTACCATGATTATGAAATCTGGCAAATGGACGTGAAGACAGCCTTTCTGAATGGCTACCTAGAGGAAGAGCTTTATATGGCTCAACCTGAAGGTTTCATGTCCAAGTCTGAAAAGACTAAGGTATGCAAACTTCAGAGGTCCATTTATGGACTTAAGCAAGCCTCCAGGAGTTGGAACATTCATTTTGATACTGAAATCAAATCGTTTGGTTTTACTCAAAACGAAGACGACAATTGTGTTTATCAAAAGGTCGTTGGGGAAGCAGTTGCATTCCTAGTGTTATATGTAGATGACATATTACTATTCGGGAATGACACTGCAGTACTTTCTTCTGTAAAAGTGTGGTTGTCCAAAACCTTCCACATGAAAGATTTAGGAGATGCATCTTATGTACTTCGGATAGAGCTCTATCGTGATAGATCCAGAAAATTAATTGGATTATCCCAATCTATGTACATTGATAAGGTGCTAAGTAGGTTCTAGATGGAACAATCTAAGAAAGGTATTCTTCTTGTAAGACATGGAATTCATCTTTCTAAGTCCATGAGACCTAAGACTTCTGAAGAGATACGGCATATGAATATGATTCCTTATGCTTCCGCCATAGGAAGTCTTATGTATGCCATGATATGCACAAGGCCTGATATCGCATATGCTGTAAGCATTACTAGTCGATATCAATCTAACTCAGGATCAGAACACTGGGCAGCTGTCAAGACGGTCCTTAAGTACTTAAGAAGAACTAAGGACATGTTCCTCGTTTATGGAGGAGCGACAGAGTTGCGAGTGGAAGGCTATACAGACGCAGATTTCAAATCTGACGTCGATGATAGAAGTTCCAACTCCGGATACGTATTCACTCTGAATGGTGGGGCTGTCAGCTGGAAAAGCAAGAAACAAAGTGTAATTGCCGATTCCACGACAGAGGCTGAATATGTCGCTGCAGCTGAAGCCGGCAAAGAAGCGTTCTGGATGAAAAAGTTCATTACTGAACTTGGAGTGGTTCCAACCATTACATCACCAGTAACTTTGTACTGTGATAATAGTGGGGCGATAGCTCAAGCCAAGGAACACAAGGCACATCAAAAGAACAAGCACTTTGACAGACGCTTTAATATCATTAGAAGATATGTTGCCGAGGGGAAAATCAACATCCTCAAAGTTGCTTCAGCCGATAACGTAATAGATCCACTGACAAAGCCAATGTCTCAGATCCAGTTTGAGTGCAAGTGGGAGATTGTTGGAAGGATACCCACAAAACCAAGCTGGATTTGAGACATTGGCTTTGTCAGTGGATCTGCTACGTTATCGGCTGAAGCAACTTTGAGGATGTTGATTTTCCCCTCGGCAGCATATCATCTAATGATATTAAAGCGCCTGTCAAAGTGCTTGTTCTTTTGATGTGCCCTGGGTTCCTTGGCTTGAGCTATCGCCCCACTATTATCACAGTACAAAGTTACTGGTGATGTAATGGTTGGAACCACTCCAAGTTCAGTAATGAACTTTTTCATCCAGAACGCTTCTTTGCCGGCTTCAGCTGCAGCGACATATTCAGCCTCTGTCGTGGAATCGGCAATTACACTTTGTTTCTTGCTTTTCCAGCTGACAGCCCCACCATTCAGAGTGAATACATATCCGGAGTTGGAACTTCTATCATCAACGTCAGATTGGAAATTTGCATTTGTATAGCCTTCCACTCGCAACTTTGTCGCTCCTCCATAAACGAGGAACATGTCCTTAGTTCTTCTTAAGTACTTAAGGACCGTCTTGACAGCTGCCCAGTGTTCTGATCCTGGGTTAGATTGATGATAGGAGCATATTTAGGCGACTTACTTAGCTTGTTTTCGTGCATCTATGTTGTTAATTCATAGTTATTTTAGTCCTTTATGCTTCTTTTGTGTGTTTTCAGGTTCTAAGGGCTTAGGGAGCAAGAAAGTGCATTTTGAGGCTATTTGGAGCATTTTTGGGCATGGATTGGATAGCTTATCCATGGGTCCAAAAGGATGGAAGAAATTGAAGGCCATTGATGCACTTTAGGACATACAACAAAGGGCCTAGCCCATTCTCTCATATTCTCTCCCTTATAGCCATGCAAAGAACCATCCATTCCATAAAAAACAACCCTATTCTAAGACCTTGCCATGCATCACATGCATTCCTTCAATTCAGCCACCATTCATTCTTTATTCCACATGCAATCATCATCACACACCCTAGCTACCATTCACATGCATTCACATGTATCACAACCCCAAAACCATCAAGAAATCTTCCCCTTGCCGTGCACATTCACTCACCACAAACAAGCCACATGCATTACACCCCACATGTCCCTTTAATCCTTCAAACATGCACCCTTTATTCTTTCATTAATTAAACCACAAATCAGCCACATGCACCCTTTAATCATTCAACCACAAAGCCACATGCACATTCACCCCTTTCTCCACACCAAAACCGTGCATACACACTTCATTCCATTCATTCATCATTCCATCTCATGCATCACCATTTATTCCATCCTAGAGCCTCATTATTCAATCCATCATTCAGCCATCTTCCACCCCCTTTAATCATTTAACCCACATACATTCACACACACTTCACATGCAAAACAACAACCATTCACACACAAAACATCACCATTCACCCTTGTGCCGTGTATCCCAATCCCTTTCCAGCATTTCACATGCATTTCCACCTTCCTACTTCATCATTTCAGCTACATATTCACCCACATGCACTTTAATCATTCAGCACATGCATTCACACACCAACAACAATTCAATGCTGTGTAATCCCATTACCTTTCCAGCTTGCTTATGCAATTCCAGCATGCATTCACATGGATTTTCAGCACCATTAACACCTTTGCCGTGGCATTCATTCCCCTTTCCAGCTTTCCCTTTCATTTCCACCACTCATTATTCATCATTGCAGCCACCTACATGCATTATTCATTAACCTTTCATCATGTAGACAGAAAATAACACAAATTCCACTCCTTTGCCGTGGCACACATTGACATTCCAACACCTTCACATGCAATTCCAGCTTGCATATGCTTTCCTAGCTGTTTGTTCATCATTAATTAGCCACTTGCATGCTTAAACAAACAGCCATTTACACCTTCATTCTCCTATAAAAGCCCTTGCATTCCCATCATTCAATTCATTCCTCATTTCATACACAACACACCACAAACACACCATTTCCCAAATCCTTGCCGTGGGTTTCTTTCTATCTTCTATCTATCCTCTTCCATCCCTCTCCAACCATTCCCCACTCCATTCCACATACACTTAAAGCCCTAAACATCTCCTTAGACCTTGTGCCACAACGAAGAGGAAGATAAGAGGGCCTAAACGTTCATACAATTCAAGTTTGAGTTGTTGGAATGTTTAGGTGTTTCTTTGATTTCAATGTTTAATTTCAATTCTCTTTGTTTTGTAAGTATGAGGAACTAAACCCCCCTTAGCTAGGGGGTGATTCGAAATATATGTTTATGCTTGTAATATGATTTGATTACTTTTAATTACGTTTCATAAGTTGTGAATTCAATTTGTTTAACTATTTGATTGATATCCTATTTATGTATGTTTATTAAGAATGAACGCTTAATTTTCATGCATGAATATGACGCTAGAATATAAGTGAGTTTCACGTAATAGTTATGAACTTATATTCACAAGTAGTGGAGGTTGCTTATAAACAATCGCGTTAAACAAATTCTTGGCATAAGTTTCATGCAATCATAGTAACGAATGTCTCGTCAACACTTATAGTTTTCATGTTGCTTAATGATTCTTGCTTGTATCTCTATTATGCAATTCATGTAGGGAACTTGTGAGGAATGCTTTGGATTGTCGTATGCAATCATACAATTCATTAACTTAAGGAAAACTTGACGGTTAATTTAAACGGACCTAATTAACCCGGGGCGTTGAGAATTCATGGTTTATTGAAAAGCAATTAGAAATCGTTTTGTATGCAAGTATAACATGTATAGAGATGAACCCCTTAGCTAGCTTCCCATCCATTCATTTCCGTCAAATCCATATTTACAATTTGTTTTGTTTCCAAGTATCCATTTTAGTTTAAATTCGTCCAAATCCAATTCTCCCCTATTTCGTTGAAGTTTTAGTCTTAATCTTTCTTATTTTTAGTTTTGCTTTCTTCGAGTATTAAATAGTGTTTTATATTGTGTTTTTACGTTTTTAAGTCAAATCCAAGTGATTAACAATCTCTCCTAATCCCCGGTCCAGA